ACTTACGTACAAGTGCTGGTAGTCTGGATTCACCTAAATCTTGTGACTCATGCTTTATCAAATCAAGGCACTTTACATACAAGTGCTGGTAGTCTGGAATTCACCTAAATCTTGTGACTCATGCTTTATATCAGTATAAAAGCTTATATTTTAAGTGTCAGTTTTATTTTAAAGTTTTATAAAGTTTGTGAAAGAAAATTTTTGTAGTCACTTAAAACTAGAACACCCAGACTATGTAAAAATACTGTCACAAGAGGCATTGCTTTTACGGTCAGCTGAAACGAGCGTCTGGGATTTTTTCCAGTGAGAAGTTTGAGGTTGGAGGGTGTCTCCCTGCCTGCTGGGGTGTTCTTCCCCTTTAGCAAATCTCTTGTCTACGCGCTGTACTTCAGGCGTTTCAATATAGCCATTGGCGTGATGCAGCATTCCTGTATTCTGCTTATGCTGGTGCTTTAGTGCTGTTCCCAGTTACCTTTTCCCTGCTTTAATGGTGAGAAAAGATACTGCATGAGTCCAGTCTGCTCTGTGATCTGCCCAGTACGACTGGACCCAAGAGGAGGTCAGTTTACATGGGAGCGCTGCGCTTTTGCCGGTGGTGGGTGCAGAAGAGATGAAAGCTGCTGAATTAGTGCTGGGACAGTTATCTTCCACTGTCACATCCTTGAGCCATCAAATCTGTGAATCCGTGAAATGCTCCTAAATGAGTACTGAGCTGCAGCCAGGGTCTATGTCCTCTCTGCTGCAGTGTGGAACTGTGTTACAAACTACATCAGAGCCTTGGAAGGTTTGAGTTTGTAAGCTAGATTTAAGTCACTTCAGTTACTTAACCCTTTTCTGATACTGCTTTTCATATGAAGAAAAAATCTTTTGCTTAATTGTTTCACTGGAAAGGCAACACTGACTTTTAATAACATTTTCTGTAATAACTTTTGCTCTTTCTGCTCTGCACCTTGCAGTTTATAATGAAATACAGAATTTGGCCCATTAACTTCAAAAGAAATTGTGGTTTCAGTAAAGTTCAGTACCAGATTGACAGCATTTTTTGGCATGCATACTGACAGTTTGTGCTTGTAAACTGGAAGGGTGGGGCACTTTTACCATTTCAGGAGGCAATGCCTTTTGCCTTTTGATGTGTCTTGTTGGTGTAGCAGCTTCTAGCAGTGTGCCCAGGTGGCCAAGAGGGCCAATAGCATCCTTGCCTGTATCAGGAATAGTGTGGCCAGCAGGAGTAGGGCAGTGATGGTGCCTCTGTACTTGGCTTTGGTGAGGCCTAACCTTGAACTGTGTTCAGTTTTGGGCCCCTCACTACAGGAAGGACATTGAAGTGCTGGAGCATGTCCAGAGGAGAGCCACCAAGCTGGGGAGGGGTCTGGAGAACAAGTCCTACGAGGAGAGGCTGAGGGAACTGGGCATGTATAGTTTGGAGAAGAGGAAGCTGAGGGGAGACCTCATTGCCCTCTACAACTACCTGAAAGGAGACTGTAGAGTGGCGGGGGTTGGCCTCTTCTCCCAAAGGAATAATGACAGGACCAGAGGTAATGGTATGAAGCTGCGGCAAGGGAGATTCAGATTAGATATTAGGAAGAATTACTTTACTGAAAGAGTGGTCAGGCCCTGGAACAGCCTGCCCAGGGAGGTGGTGGAGTCACCATCCCTGGAGGTATTTAAGAAACGTGTGAACATGGCACTTCAGGGCATGCTCTAGTGCCCAGGATTATTGGTTTGTGGTGGGGTGTAGTGTGTGGGGTTGTGGGTGTGGGGTTTAGTTGGTGGGTGGTGTTTTGGGGTTTGTGGGTGGGGTTTTTTTTGTTTTGTTTTGGTTTTGGTTTTGGTTTTGGTTTTTTTATGTGGTTGGACTCAATCTCGGAGGTCCTTTCCAACCACTAAGATTCTGTGATTCTCAGTTTATATCTCTAAAGGTTGTTTTTAGTGTACATGCTAATGGAAGTAAGAACTTACTGTTTGGCAGGAAGAAGTGCAATTTAAAAAAGGAACAACAAGAAAGTCATTGGGCAATCTTTCCTTTTGAGCGGGTTACAATCTGCAGAACTTCCTTTGGGTTTCATGTTTATCTCTGTGCTACTACCGGTTTCTGATACGAGTATGTTTCTATGGATATGTATACATTCTTTTATCAAATTGAAATTTAAGGCTAGTTTTATAAACCTAATCACTATCCAGCCCTGCCTGATCAATATTAAGAGCTCGAGGCTTTGGTTGCATGAGTGGTTCCTTGCACACCGTGTCCTTGCAGCGAGCCAGCTACTCCAAATCCAGTGCTCATGAGCATGTACCAGGGGGGTGAACGTGATGCAGCAGCCCCCAGCAGCGCAGCAGGCGTGTGGGCAGTCGCAGAGTGGCTCTTGTAACACTAGTTTATACAGATCACCTCGCAGAAGCTTGTTCGGGTGTCCACGCTCCTCTTATTTTAATCAACAGAAGTTGAGTGAGACAAACTTCAGCTCTCATTTTCTGTGCCAGAGGACACCAAGTGCGTGAGGAAGCAGCAAAACGCAGGCTCTGGAAATGCTGAAGGCCAAAGCAAAGAAAAAGGTTTGGAAAAGGTTTTATTTAGGGAGCTAGGGCTTGCCAGAGGAATGCTTTGGCCTGTTTAAAAATGTCCATCTGTCGTTCAAGGAATTGTTCATGGAATGTAGAATGTGGTGTGTCTCACTGAAGGGAGCTCGGGTTGTGTGTCTGCATGTTTCAGATACAATTGTAAGACCCCAGTTCGCAGTGCTTAGTCTTGAATTCTTTCTAGATGATTCTTCCATAATATTATTTGTATTTGTAGCAGTCCATATGCTTCTCTATGCTTGATGTAGGCAATACTGCAAATAACAATTGCAATACCCCTGTGCTTACAAAATTCTAGTCATGGTAACGTGCTTAGAAAGGTGTAGGAAGTAGTAATTTTCGCTTCATATCTTTACTCTGTCTTTTAAGTGCTGATTGCATTTTCAGTGTTATACAAAATACACCTTTGTTCAATGTAGAATACGCCTTACTTTTTACTAGCACAGTATTTGTACTCATTCAGTAGGGCCAGCTTTTGTTATGACAGGTGAGCAAGCTAATGCACATTGCCTCCATTTTTATCCTCAGTAAAGATATGCAAAGAAATTGTTTCCTTAGATTGCAATTTTTGTTTTACCCTTTTAAAAAACATTTTGGAAGTCTTGCAGCCAGCATGTGTAGTTCAGTTTTTGCAGTTTGTGCTATGTAGTTTCTAGGCTGAAGTAAGGATGATGTGTAGCCATGCTATCCCAGCACAGGATGCAAGAAACACAGTCAGCAACATCAGAGCTCCCCATTTTCCTAGGGGAACCTTGCAACCCGTTTTAGGATGGTGTTATGGTTTGAGAAACCATTTCTCAACAATTTGTTGTTGTTTAGACAATGATTCCATTACTCAGGAAGGGGAATCGGGGGGAAAAAACAAGGAAACCTGAGGACTGAAATACAAACAGATTTAATAGAATCAGACTAGATAATTAACATTAATAACATTAAAGAACCAATATTGATCCCAATACCAATGTAAGATATACAAGGATTCTATTCAGCCCACTCCATCAGGGGACTGCCAATGTAGGACACTGTGAGCACTGTGGCTTCGGGAGGAAGGGAAGGGCTCAGGGCTCTGGCACTGCAGCAAGGAGTTCTTGGGATCACAGCCATCAAGGAAAAAGAGAACTTCTCAGCAAGCTTTCTAATTTATACTGAATGTGATGTTCATGGTATGAAATAATCCTGTTGGCCAGCTTGGGTCAAGTGCTCCTCCTCATCCCCGTGCCTGGCTAACTCAAAAGCACTGAGACCTTGAAACCCACATACCATAGCTGGCTATGAAGTAAATATTTTCACACATTCAGACACTAGAGTCTTCCAAAAGTGCTGTTTTTCCCAAGCATTAGAATAGAAATTAGTCCTGTGTCCCTCAAACCAGGACAGATGGGCCTTTGAATAAGGACAACCATTCTATATGAGCATGAAAACTTCCAAAGTGCTCATCTGTTTTATTCAAGCACCAAAAGAAACTTTCCTGCTGTTTGTGTCTCGGTATTGAGTTGTACTCAGGTATGCTATTTTAATAGTGCTAAGCTGTTTGCAAGTGTATCTCGGAGACAAGGACAGTGAAAATACTCTGAAGGGGACCTTGAGGTTTTAAAAAATAATTTGTGTGAGTGTTACGTACAGATTAAGAGTCAAAGCTTGATGAAATGAACACAGCTAGGAAAAAAACCTTCAGTACTTTGCTCCTGTGCATGCTATATCCCTACCATCAGACCTGATCCAGCGTAGGTTGTGGTGGTGCAGATGGATTTATGGTTGGAGTCCATGAATCGGCTAAAGGGAGCAAAGGAATCAGCTAAAGGGAGCAAATGCACTGTCTTTGCATATTTTCAGTTTTCAGATTCAGTTTTCTCCCTGCCCATGGATATTGCAAGCAACTACTTAGGTCCTTTCTAGCAGTGGGATGTGGACAGTTTGGCTAGAGTGTTAAGGAAAAGATTTCCCTTGTGGTGATGAGGTGCTGAGGTCTTGCAGACACAAACAATCCTTCTTGCATTCTTGCCAGGTGTCTTTTGGAGGCATCAGCTACTTTTTCTGACTGAGGATCTCACAGTTGGACTTTCTCCAGCTGAATGATCCTATCCATCTCTAGAATTAGAGAATTAGAGATGCTGGAAAATCCATCACCAGACATGTTAGTGGGGAAGTAAAGTTATGGAGTTTGCTTCTGAAGTGGATGCTGACAATAGACCTGTCAGATAGGTCATCTTACTCAGGATTTCATTGAGCGTCCCATAAGCTGATCTGTGAAATTCTGGCAGGTGTCACAGCTATGCTACCATAGTCATGTGCTGGTCAACAGGAAGGGTTGAAAGTCTGGTCCATTGTGATTGACTGCTGTTATATCTGGCAGATGTTACTTGTTCCATTAAAAAGAAAGTGTTTTTTTTGTTTTTTTTGTTTTGTTTTTCCCTCCCTCTTAGGTGGAACGTATTGGGTATTCAAGGAGCCTTACTTAGCCTCTTTGTGGAGCCAATTTACTTCTCTAGCATCATCTTGGGGAGTTTATATCATGGGGATCATCTATCCAGAGCCGTATACCAGAGGATAGCAGAGATAGAAGATCTACCACCTCTTTATACACTCAACAGACCTTTACTTAGTGGCAAGTATCTAATGGAGAAGGCCGTGCCGGTAACTAAGTCTGTTCCAGTAGCAATGTCATTTTGCAGTTCTCAGAACCTGGCAAATTATGTACTGTGAGTAAACTGCTTTCTGCTTGCAAGAGGGAAGTTATTGTCTAAACCTAACATAGATACTCAGAAATACCATAGCAAGGACCCTTCATGAGTTAAAAGATGGAAAGAACTGGCGTTTGAACCTTTGAATGCAGTTCCACGTGATTGCTGTCTGGAGCGTGCCCCAGCAATATGTGAGGCAAGTTGAAGGCCCCAGCGTAGTGAAATCTCATCCCACCCATGAAACAGTGTGTTAGCTCTCACTGTCACTTCTCTTGCCATTGCAGATATTTGTTGAACAGCCACGTCATTAATGAGTATGCCAAGATAGACACATTTGGTTCACAGTTTCTAGATCAATAGCCAACTTAAAATGGATGGAGAGAACATCTCAGCTGCCACTGGTTGTATTTTCTTTTTGTCATCAATCTCTGTTGGATGCAGCATTGGCTTTAATTAGCATGGCAGCCAACTTGTTTGCATGACCTAATGATCATAATATTTTAATTTCCACTTTGTAGGTTAGTGCACAAATGCTGCATTCAGATCCTGGTGGCACATTCTTTGAGAATATTTTTAATAGAGTATTAAATATATCTGACAGACAGCAATATGGCAAGCCCCAGCTGGTGTGGTTAGCAGTTGTCTTCTGCAGTTGCTGTTTAACATTTAAGTACTGTTCTTTGGCTTTGTACTGATCCTAGCTTCTAGTGGGGCAGGAATGATGGTCTTTGAATTAACAGGTCGTAATGTCTAATTGAGCTGTGATTTTCAAAGGAAAGTTCTGAACTGTCTTAAATTTTAAAACTGCTAGTTACAGTAATGCTGTGAAAGCTTTAAAACTGAAATCTCATATGCTCCCTCTCATTGTGTGCATTGCTTTGTTCTGTAGAGCTTGGCTTTTGGCATGTGTCTGTTTATTTTCCAGGAAAAAAAAAAGCTGAGTATTTTAAAGCATGTTTAAAGCTTGACATGAATTTTTAAGTTAGATTTAGGGAGGGAGTGAGGAAAAGAGCCTATTGAACAACCAGTATTTTAAATAAGAAAGATAATTAATAAGGATTCTCTGAACTAGGACATGTTAAAATGTTAACTAACGTATTTTTCCTTACATAAGCAAATAAGTAATAGTTACTACACTCACAGTACCAAATATTAAAGTGTTGTATGGGGGTTGTAGCTGATGTATGGGCTGTTTCTGCCTGATTTTGGGGAATTTTTATCAATTCTTCAAAGCAGCAGATTTGGGGTGGGATAGGAAGAGTTTGCTATTCTTTTCACATGGTATAATAGTACCTTGTTGTCTTAAAAATCATCTTTCTGCAATAATGGTATAATTTATTTCCATGAAATAATATCATCTATTTAAACAGTTCAGCCAGGACTTACTGGGCAGTAGAGGGAGTTCAGAAATGTTCTCAGCTCTTGAGTTTTCATGAAAATGCATATCTCAGAAATGTACAGAAGACTTGTTTGGGAGGTTGGGCAGAGAAGTGTGTTGATTAATTTTTCTTCTACTGGTTCAGTCTTGAAAGCTAGTCTTCTGACCCATGCTGTTGGATTCAGCTGGGGCATTTGTGTAGCTACCCATCTGCTCTTTGATTCACAGATTTTACGGTGCACTGCAGAAATACCTGTCCCCAATTCTACGTTCCTCCTGGTACCACACACACAACTCTGATCGTGACTACCAGAGGGATGAACTGAAAGAGAAATAGCTGTCTTTCCTCACTGTCTCAGCTGAGAACTGTTTAACTGAGAAAGTACTGTAAAAAATGGGGTTTTTCCTCTCATAAAACAAGTTTGATCTCTGCAGGGACAATTGCATTAAGACAAAGTCAGACTGAGTGATTGTTATCTACTGCTAAAAATTCTTTTCATCATCTTTCTTTCCTCGTAGATTTTCTACTTTGCCAGCAAGTTAAACGTGAACATGCATATCAGAGTAGCTGGTTTTTGGCTAGGGGATGCAGGAAACCCATATGTTGGTAGAAAACCCCCTCCCCATGCTGACTCTTGGAAGCCTTGGTTGCGGGACCCAGCCTTTCAGGATGTCTTTAGCACCACGGCACTGAGGGCACACGAGCTCTCCCTGAGAACTGGGCAGCTCACTTGAAGAGAAGACAGGTTGAATCTTCTGACTTTCTAGAGTAGTCTGAAAAGGGATCTCAATCAAATAGAATGAGGATGATTGTATAAATCAGCCAATAACACAGTGCCCGTCTACAGGGTAATCTGCACAGATGTTTTAGAGCCATTGTGGGAGGCAGGCATGAAGATTTTAAGCCGGGGTGGAAGTAGGGTGGCAGAGCTCAGCAAACCAGAGAATCGTCCCTTGAAAATCCTTGGGAGCAGAAGTCATTAAATATAGGAGAGCCCATTACATATAAACAACAAGCTCTTCATCACTGCAGGTAACTCGTGTAAACCCAGTTTCATCACAAGCTCTTCTTCACTGGAGGCAACTAGCGTGAACCAAATTTCATCAGGCGTCTGTCCTGTTCCTGCTGCTGGTAGGTGTGCTCAGATGCCCCTGCCCTGAGGGCTGATGGTATCTACTGGGTCTGTGACCACAAAGAAGACAGCAGGCTGGGCCCTGATCTGTTCTCTTGTCCGTCGTGGCTACTCAACCGTCTCCGAACCCTGCAGTAGCCTCTGCGTTTGTGGGCAATGCCTTTTTTCTTAGCTGTGATTATAATATTAAACAGGCAAAGTTTTCCCTATTTTGATGTCCAATCAGTTTATAGTTTCTTATGATTTAGTTTCTCTAGAGTTTTCCTGTCTTTTACCAGAGTATTGCCAGAAATTGCATTGTTGATGGTTTTGACCTGTTCCTTGTGGTGCTGCTGACATCTATTTCTTATTTTGGTTCTTGGATGAAACATCCTGGAGCAGTGTCACATCTGCTGATTATCTTGTCACCAGTGTAAAAACTGTCCAAGATCTTAAGGTATGATCCATCTAACGCAGTACTCTTTCCAACAGGTAGTTAGGCAGTGAAAAGTAGAAGGAAACAGTAATTGCATGGAGACCTTTCCATGTAAGGATCATCCCTTCCATTTTATAATCACATTTTTGAGCTAGTGAGATAGTGTGTCTTGACCTGATAGTCAAGATAAGGCAGCAGTACTGATTTATGTGGTGGCATCATGGTATTCTGTTCGGTTCCATGATCCTTCAATAAAAATTCCAAACAGTCACTTTGCTTCCTTTGATTCCTGTTGATCATTGACATGACCTTTTGGTAAAATTGAATATTAGAAGCTAGAACTCATTCCTGAATTCCAATATCCAGCTCCAGCTCCAGCACTCATTATGCAAAATTGCTTTGTTTTTCCTCGTATGTATTACCTAATATTTATCTGTGAGGAATTTCATCTGCCTTTTTATTGCCCAGTCACCCGATGTTGTGAACTTTTTTTTCTGCTACTCTGAAATTGCTTATTTACCTTCTTAAATAATTCAGTATCGTCAACAATCTTACTCCTTTTTTTTCCCCACATACACACTTTCCAGGTCTGCACAGAGCTTGAGGCTCTTCAGCTGTGTTGGCTCTTTCTAACAGAGGGTCTTTATCCAGGTTTCCTTAAGTCTGTTTTCAAGGTAGACGTTGAGCATGCAGGCCTTCTACTCCCTGGGCTCTCTTAAGAATTAGTTTTACACTGGCCACTTCCACTGTTCAGTTACTAAAGCAGTTTTTTGTTGAGTTGTTCCCAATATTGCTGTATTTACACCTGTGCCCAGTAGTGCGGTATCGTAGTTAGAATCATAGAATCATCTAAGTTGGAAGGGACCTTTAAGATCATCGATTCCAACCATTAATCTAACACTGCCAAAACCACCACTAAACCAGGGCCCTAAGCACCACATACACACATCTTTTAAATACCTCCCAGGATGGTGACTCAGCCACATCTTTGGGCAGCCTGTTCCAATGTTTGAAGACCCTTTCTGTGAATAAATTTTTCTTAATACCCAATCTAAACCTCCCCTGGCGCAACTTGAGGCCATTTCTTCTTGTCCTGTCCCCTGTTCCTTGGGAGAAGAGACCGACCCCCCCTGGCTACACCCTCCTTTCAGGGAGTTGGAGAGAGCCAGAAGGGCTCCCCTCAGCCTCCTTTTCTATAGGCTGAACACCCCCAGCTCCCTCAGCCTCTCCTCATAAGACTTGTGCTCCAGACCCCTCACCAGCTGCTTCTCTGGATTCGTTCCAGAATGTCACTGTCTCTCCTGTAGTGAAGGACCAAAACTAGACACAGTCCTCAAGATGAGGCCTCACCAGTGCTGAGTACAGGGACAATCACTTCCGTACTCCTGCTGGACACACTATTCCTGAAACAGGCCAGGATGCTGTTGGTTTTCTTGGCCACCTGGGCACACTGCTGGCTCATATTCAGCCTGCAGCCTTCCTGGTGGAGATGTCATGTTTATTGACTGGTAAATAAACATGGCACACCCTGGCACACCTCTGAACTTCTTAAAGATTGGAGTTGCATTGGCCACCTTTCATCCTGAAGACCTTGCATGGCTTCTGATGAGTGGTTATATACTGTGACTCCTGGTCCTGCTGCCTCTTCTTTAGTTTCCTCGAAGGTAGTTGAATATTGTCTGGGTCCCATAATTGGTGTTTTCTTACTTCATACACATATCCTGGAACTATTTTTACTGGCACCTCAATTTGAGATGGCTACTCTGGCATGTTGCCTGTGAAGAGGGGCTCCATCCTGGGAACCCACCCACCCTTTTCACAAAACATGGATCTGTCCTTTGTACACAAGAAGACTTCAATCACATGGCAAGAGTGGTTATTTTAAATGTTCATGCCTCAGCACTCCTCTGACTGCTGTCTGCATTTGCATTTATTTTTTTTTTAACAAAAATTAATCCTTCAGCAGAACCTTTGCTGATTTTTGTGGCTGTTTCCTTGGTACCTTTATTCTCCTGATCACATTGATGTTTTTTGGCTATCTTTTTTATATCTCCTTTTTAATGAAGCTTTTTTTGAGCTCTGTCCTCAATGAACTTTCAAGCAGCATTAGCACAAAGAGCTGTGACCTTTGCTTTTGCTTATTATAGTCCATTATAATAATATTCAACACTAAGTTCTGAGCGATATTTGCTAAATAAGTTATATAATTTTTCAAAGGAGAATAACATATTTTACTTTCTCTCCTAGCTTTCTCTCCCATTACTAGTTTGAGCTTGTTGTGCTATGTTCATGTCTACATTTTGAGGGGGGAGATATGATCCACCTAAAGTGTTACCAGACACTTTGCTTTTGAGATCACCTTTATTCCCTGTCCGTGCTACCCATGATCCACCTTTAGGGACTTCTTTGCCATCTCTCCAGGGTTCACACAGATAATTAAGCAGCTTAATAGGATGTTGTTACTTAAGATATTTGAAATTCTGAGTCTGGGGGGTTTTCTATTTGTTTAATTCATCAAAATAACCTAAGGAATGCAATTGTATGATTGCCATGGAAACGCAGTGCATGCTGGATCTTCAGCTTCCTCATCTTCCTTTGATTTGCTTGTGCAGGTGCTTGTGATGTCACAGCTGTTGGAGTAGCTGAGAGGGCAGGAGCTCAAGGAGCAAATGGTGTTTTGCAGTACTCCATGAACTGTATCTGACCACTGGACTTGTTCAGTTGCCTATGGAACAAAAGCAGAGGCAGTAGTATAGATATCGCTAAACTAAAGAAAAAATATGACCGACCCACTTGTCATGTGGTGGCAGTTTCTTAGCCCTCTTTCCTCAGTAGTTTTGGTAAAACCAATTTTTGATTAAGAGATTTGTCTACATGGGTCTGTTTCACATAAGCTTCACCAAAGCAGCCTGAATTTATATGCTTTTGGAGACTCAGAGTTGGGATGTGTTTTCTGTGCACCCCAAATTTACAATTTATTAGGTGTTTAGGTGCAAGCTTCATGTTGTGTGACTTATGGAGCAGCAGTATTTGCTCTGCAGTATTTGGACTTCAGTGGCACAGGCCATACACAGGCATTGTGCATGATCAGCTCCAGGTTTCAGAAGGTCTGGTGCATATGTTCATTGCCAGCCACTCAGAAGGATCGCAGAAGATGTGATGAGGACTTTTTGACTCTCGTCATAAAGCCCCATTCTTGCTGGGTCTCCCTCAGGTATTGTTTGCAGGATATTCCTGGTTGTACCTGCCACTGTCCACCCTGTACCTCTCAGAATCACAGAATCGTCATAGTTGGAAAGGATTTCTGACATCACTGAGTCCAACCATACACACACAGAAAAAACCCCTACAATCTCAGCCACTAGAGCAGGCCCTGAGTAAAATACCCAAGTGTGCTGGACAGTAGGGGAGGGCGGTGCTGTAGAGGCTGGTCTTGCTTCCTCACACCCCCTGCGTGGTCCTGGCCCAGGACCTCATGGCTTCTCTGTAGCTCCAGGGTGGCATGGGAGGAGTCGAGGCAGCAGCAAAAGTCCCGATGAAGGTGGGATTCAAACCCACACGTGCAGAGCATAATGGATGAGCAGTCCATTGCCTTCACCGCTTGGCCACCTCGTCCTGCCCCGTCTCTCTTTGTCTACCCTCCCAAGTTGCTCAGTGTGTGGATCCCACACCCCTGCTCACCAATTTTCAGATGAGTGGATGTAGATCCTGCAGATGATGTAGGTACCTCTATTTTATTTCAGCTCCTGAACACATCTTTCCTAAAACTCCTAACAAAAAAACCCAAAACAAACCAAACTTGGGTGCCTGAGGTTGGCTTAACTTTGTTTATTAGATTGTGTTTCAAGTATCAGCAAGAAATGCATCCTGCTGCAATGCTTATGCTGGTGAGGGGTCTGGAGCACAAGTCTTGTGAGGAGAGGCTGAGGGAGCTGGGGGTGTTCAGCCTGGAGAAAAGGAGGCTGAGGGGAGACCTTCTTGCTCTCTCCAACTCCCTGAAAGGAGGGTGTAGCCAGGGGGGGTCGGTCTCTTCTCCCAAGGAACAGGTGATGGGACAAGAGGAAATGGCCTCAAGTTGCACCAGGGGAAGTTTAGATTGGATATTAGGAAAAATGTTTACACTGAAGGGGTAGGAAGCTGGGGTATGTACATTGAAGCATTGGAACAGGCTGTCCAGGGAGGTGGCTGAGTCACTGTCCCGAGAGGTATTTAAAAGATGGGTAGACACAGTGCTTAGAGATATGGTTTAGTGATGTTTTTTGTCAATGTTAGGTTGATGATTGGACTAGATGGTCTGAAAGGTCCCTTCCAACCTAGACAATTTTATGATTCTCTGTTCAGTTTATACAAATTCATTAGATTTTATAAGGCATGTGACCTAGCTTGAAGTAGATTTGAAATAGGCTCTCACTGAGAGTTGCATTAAAGTAAAATGGAATCTTTACATATTAGAAAGAAAAAAAAATCCTCTGTTCGTTTGTTCTCTCCTGGTGAGACAACTGAGACATCTTAAAGGTAGAGTTTTGCTACCCCTGGAATGTCTGCAGGATCAAAAGTGATGTGCTCCTTAACTTTTCCATGGCACACACAACCCAAACTTGTAGCCCTGGCTACTCTTGAGAGCACCGAGCGCTGTCTTGTTGCACATGCAGGAGAAGAGTTGCACAGGGATGGCAGTGGTTGCCATGATCTTCAAGCATGGTGCTGCAGTCGTTATATACAGTGCAGCTCTGCAACGTTGGGGTGCCATGGGGGAATAAATCCTGCCCTAGGCAGCCCAGGCAGGCAGCTGGCCTTGCTTCACACTTGGATTAGACTTTTGGTAGCTTTGCTTCCCCGTCAGTAGAGATGAAGCCTTATTTCACAGGTGTCACACAATTCAACATCTGAGCAAAATGATCCGTGTCCTCTTGAGTCATGCGGTTCAGCATTTCTGGGCACTGTAAGTAGCAACAGACATGTAGAGTGGGGAGGCAGCTGAAACACAGCCGAATTTATGCTGAAAGACTCTGCCAGCTTTGGCTTTCTGTGGAGGACACCGAGGATGGGCCTCACGTTGTGAGCATCACTGCTGCTGCCTGTGCGAGTCATACCATGCCCTGGCATAGTCTGTAAGAAGGAGGACATAGATGGGTAGCTTTCAATGAAACATGCTTGACAGCTACTGAAATATAGGCAAGGCATCCTGCCACCTCATACCACTGCTCCAACTTAACTCCATTTTTGTGAGGGAAAGTGAAAAAACGCATTGTAGGCACTTCTAAATAAGCATGATCTCTCTGAAAGAGACTGCAGTCCAAGGTTGTTAGCTCAATTCTGTGTGTTGAAAGATGACCAAAGATGACCATGGTTCCACATCTGTTTTGGCATGAGGTAAGCAACATGCACCTAAATTTTTACAACAGAGTGAAAGGAATTAATTGGAGAGTTATAACTGTCAAAACCTCACAGTATCTGCTCTTTCCTCCACTTGGGTTGTCCTGTGACTGTGAGCTCTGAGAGCAGCAGTTTCTTGTGCAGGAGCAGAACAACTTTTTTTCCACTTCATAATTATTTGCAGTTTAATAATTAGCTCATTGATTTGCCCTGTAAGCAAGACCAGATCCTCCTGAGATGGATGTGGCAAGGCGCTCACATGACTGTCCCCATGGACCCTGAGCACAGACCTCTCCATGATCCCCTCCCCTGAAGAGACTGGTTCCTCACAGCCTCAGCAATGCATGCTTGCCTGCTAGGAAGGACAGAAGGAGAGAACACTTTAGCCAGGATGAGAGTGAGGTGTTGTGGTGGTGCAACCCCACCCCACCTTAGGCCACTCGGTGCTTGGCATGATTTCCCCCGGCCTGGGCCACGTAGCAGCCTCACGTAAATCAGGCATGAATTGTGAAAGGCAACAGAGCAGAATGTTACAGCAACCCCTTAACACACCTGGTTCCTGCATGGAAATGGTAATCGATCACCCCCTGACAGTACCTGGATCGTGGCGCAAAGGAAGTGATACCAGAACTTCTAGATCTAGCAAGTTCTGGGCCTGTGCAACTGGTGGAAAGTACCAGAGTATCCCATTGTCTGAGTTGGGCCAGAAAAATACCTGATGAAAGTCAATTATCCCAGTCCCTACAAATAGTGACTCTAGTGAGCTATTTAGAGCTCTCCTGGATGGTGGCAGATTGTGACCAGAATCTCCCCTGCGTTGGGAGCTGCTCAGGCACCTCGAGGCTTGAGGGACCAGGGTGAGTCAACCTTCTCAAGGCTCAATTATCACCCATTGAGAAATGCTGATGCATTGTGTTTACTTTAAACATGAGAAGAGGGAAATTTTAACAATAGGTTAGTGTCGGTCACCTCTCTACCCATCTATGTGTCTGAATATATGCATTAGCCTTCACGAGTGTGGGTGTCTACGTATGTTACTGGATCCAAATATTTCTCTGTGTGTGTAGCTGAAAAGGGCACCCGTCAGCCCTCTGGAGTTGCAAAGGGACTTTGGTCCCAGTAGTTATGGACTCGGGTGGTGAGTGTGCAGCTCCTTGAATGGTGTGTGTTTTCTATTTACAAACATGTACATACACATATTTTGATTTAGGATGCAGTCTAGTAAGTTAGTGTGAGTCTTGTAATTCTTGAATCTGCAACTAAGTTGCTGTTTTAATTATAACATATTCTAATGAATTGCCTTGTTAATCCTTAAATTGGCTAGTGATTAAGTGCTGCTAAAATTCAACCTTTTGTTCTACCTCCAACCATTAACAAGTCTTAAATTGTTGCTGAATCATAACTGTGTCAAATATTTTAATCTGCAATGGATGTGCATGGTGATATCTCGGAGCTGGTGAAAAATCTGCAGGAGAATAGCCTTGGAATAAAAGATCCGCTTGTAAGACTGCTTAGCAATGTGATTTCAGTAGCTCTACTGCATCGCCTGCTCTCCAGTAAAAACAAAAATCAGGAGTTAGTATTTACTGTTGCCGTTAAACATCACTTTTCTTTCAGGTATCAGCAACGCAGAAGCCCGTCAACCAGGGAAAGCGCCGAACTTCAGTGTGAACTGGACAGTAGGAGACATGGGTCTGGAAGTGATTAATGCTACAACGGGCAAGGATGAAATGGGTCGTGCATCTCGCCTTTGTAAGCATGCTTTTTACAGCCGCTGGATGCGTATTCATGCAAAGGTATATCCTCCAGAGCGCTAGCTTTTCCAGTTCTTAATCCTCAATGGAATATGTATGTGTGCCGATTGCTTTATTCAGAAGACCCTTTCTGATCCTATTTTAAGATGAGCCTGATGTTAACTATTGCTCCATGTAGTAATGGAAAAGAGCTATGCATTTGTTTAGCTTATTCTTCAATTTGATGATGACTGGTCCAAAAGGAATGCTAGGTTCAAATAATCCTTGGTTTATAGCTAAGTAAATAGAGGGTGCTATCTCCTTTGAGCTTGCCTTCTCGTTTTAATTTATTTGGAAGGATAATCCCAGTTCCACTGCAGTTAACCCACTGAGCTTTCACCCTGTTCCTCTCAGAAAAAGTGTCCATTGGGGGTTTTCTCATGTCTAGATGCCTTCTGCTGAAGGAAGCTGCTAATGCAGACAAAGCAGAGGGCTTTGTGAGGCCCGTCCCAGCGGTGCCTCTGCCAGGACGGGGTGCCACCAAAGGGCTCGCTTTGCCAGCAGCAGAGGGGTCAGCTGGGTGGGGAGCTGGGATGGCCTGTGTACTCATCTGCCCCTGCCTGAACGTTTGATTTAGTAGTTAATTACTCTATTTTAATAATAGTCATTTTAATAACTCCGTAACTCTCAAACTGTTTGGCTTAATAGCTTATTGTCTCTCTTCTTCTCTTGCCTTTAATCCACACAGCTTTCCTCCAGCTTGCGCTCAAAGATCCATCCATTGGGGGTTTTCTCATGTCTAGATGCCTTCTGCTGAAGGAAGCTGCTAATGCAGACAAAGCAGAGGGCTTTGTGAGGCCCGTCCCAGCGGTGCCTCTGCCAGGACGGGGTGCCACCAAAGGGCTCGCTTTGCCAGCAGCAGAGGGGTCAGCTGGGTGGGGAGCAGTACTGTGTACTCATCTGCCCCTGCCTGAACGTTTGGGATGGCCTGTGTACTCATCTGCCCCTGCCTGAACGTTTGATTTAGTAGTTAATTACTCTATTTTAATAATAGTCGTTTTAATAACTCTCAAACTGTTTGGCTTAATAGCTTATTGTCTCTCTTCTTCTCTTGCCTTTAATCCACACAGCTTTCCTCCAGCTTGCGCTCAAAGATCCTCAAGCCTAACGTGTACCACGAAACCAAGCAAGGAGCCACTGAGTATCAAACTGCCAAAGAGTGTTTGTTTAAAGCATTCCTGAAGGCAGGACTTGGAGCCTGGGTGGAGAAGCCCATAGAACAGGATCAGTTTTCTCTCACCATCTAATTCACAGACTACGCATCACTTGGGAAAGGGGGTTGTTCTGGAAATTCCTGGTGTCCAGCATTGCTTTCTGGCATCTCCACGGCTGTCAAAACATCTTTTTACTGTTTGGAGTTGGGCTTTTTCCCCTCTGTTTTTTTTTGTTTTTTTTTTTAAACTTCATAGTAACTGTTTCTGTTTTGCCTAAGTATTGAATCTCAATGATCTGACACATAATTGTATATTTTGTTATGGGAAAGTAATTTCTGGTGTATTTCTAGAAATACTTTTACTGTAGAAAACTTGCAGTAAGGCTGTCCTTACAGTATACAATGACTCATTTTTTTCTGGGTTAAAATAACTCCTTTTTTATTTCAATGTCATCAAGTGCATGAAGAAATGAAAGTTTCTCTAGGTTTTCACCACACAATTTTAGGAAGTAGCTTAATATTTTTAAAAGAAAATAGGTGACAAAGCTGATTCTACTCCTCTGTTGACTTGTTTTTGAACTGCAGATATTTCTAGCGTATAGACCACAGAGCCAGAATGGAGTCTGGACAGCTAGTTTTTCCCCACTTCCTTGCTCTTTAAAACCAGCTGCTGAAAATTTCATGTCTTTGATGTATGTATTTATTAGTCTGTGACCCAGTTTTTAACATGCAGCTTTTTATTCTGTTTTTAAAAATACATTTACCTCCCATATACACACATTGTGAAGTCTTTGGGTTTTTTACCATTGTAAACTGGAAACAGCAAAATAATTATTTATAGGTTAGTCTATAACGTGCAGGAACCTTGTTTAGAAGTAGGTGATTTGTATATCCCAAGAACTCATCACAACACAATTGTAACTGTAACAGTAATATGACTGTTCAAAAAAAAATTGCTCATTTTAAGGGCACTAAGCCTGAATTGCTAAAAACAGTCACTTGCTGGGTATTAACTGCTCTCCTCTTGAAGAAATGAAAAGCTCTTGTACAGACAAAAAGTTGTTAAAACTTCTTTCCTGTGAGTTATATCTGCTCTCACCCAAGCTGTTGTGTCTCTGAGATTTCATTGCCTTTTGGCTTTACACGTGTGATGGTCTTCATGCAGCTAATTAGGTAAGTTGCACTCAAATGTGCTTTCATGTGCTTTGACGATTACTTAGAAAGGTGGTTTTCCTGAACGGGTAGACGCTTCTATTTTATGTAAAAATGTAAGATAGAAAGGAAATATTGTGAGATCGGTTTGATTAACTAATGTGTAGAGGGCACTTTTAAAAACTCTTCTTAGTACATAACGTTTAGGAGCAGATGAGACAATGTCCCGTATTGCTTCACTGCTCACATGGAATGCATCCAAACACATCCCTCAGCTCTTGCCTATCCAGGTATCACTTGTGCTTTCCAAAGAACATCTCAGAGATCCTCTCTGTTCCCTTTGCAAACGATGAAGGTGATGTTTTGTGACATGGAAGTTGTCCTGACAAAATCGAATCGGTGCACCGCTGCTCCAGCTTGTTGGTTCCTGTCCCTCAGCTCCACCACCCCTTGCCTGTGCTGTACAGAACATCAGATCAGAGGGCTGGTCCGTGCTTTGAAGTCAAGGGTTACTTTTAGACCCACGTTGGGTCAGAGATCTAGTTTACAGTTGTGCTGTGGAGGCAGTGGAGCAGAGCGTGGAAGTCCCTTTAGCCAGCTTGATGGCCATAGCCTGTGTGTCATGAAGCTGTGACTGGAGTTACCATACCTCAGTGCCAGCATCTTTGAGGGGGGTTAGCAAACATTTAGGGTGTTTGAGACTTTGATGTAAAACCATTTCTGGCCAATCATGAATGCCAAGGAGAAGTGCTGCTTCATTATTGCTCAAGCAGGAACCTGTTTTCAACTCCAAAAAATGATCAAGCCTGAAAATCACTTGTGCATTAGTTGCAAACCTCTGGGTTAGTGTCTTGGAAGTAAGGCATTGAGGTACAAACAATGCATTTTTGGCAATATTATGGATATAGCAAGTACTGCTGTGGGAAGGTGGGCAATTCTGCAGCCGAGTTGATCTCCCTGGAAAAGAGTGTGATGCTTCCAGGTGTTACTGCCTCTTTGAGACACTGGGGGAACCAATGTTGCAAGCTGCAAGAGACAGGCTGTGTTAATTCAGCTTTGTTGGTGACTTAAGCCATCCTGTCTGCTTCTTATTAAAACCAAGAGTGCTCCCATCACCTCTGCCAGCCCAACAGTGCTTTTGCAGTCGTCATCTGGCTGAGGCTTAGGCTGACCTATTCTAAAACTAAAAGGAATTTAATTGTACGTGGTCAGATTTGGCAAACAGTCAGGCTTCTGCCTTTGAGATCAACCTTGTCTTGTTCACGTTGCAGAAGTTCTGCTGTGGCTGCAGTTGAGTACGTGTGTACCTTTCTGCAGGATCAAGGGAAAGCTGGTTGCACCATGTGCATTTTCTTGAGATAATTACTGCAGTTAGATGAAATGCACATTTTTGAGGTGCTCAGTCAATTGATAAATGAAGTCTGTTGAGAATTTACAGCAAGTTATTTTTATCCATCTTTCTGAAGTGCTCATTCAAAAGTTGGTGTCTCTCTGGATTTCTTTGACAAATGGGTAAGTGTTAGCTCAAACTATTTTTTTTATGAAGTCAGAAATATAAGCAATATATTTAAGTATTATTATAGACATAGTTTTTTAAGCTGTTCAAATGAATGATTAAAATTAAACTGTAAAGGAAATATGTTCCATGCCAAAACCTTTTGATGAAGGAATGGTGTCAGGTTACTTATGAGGAATAAGTTTTCTTGTTTATAATTCTGGGATTTTAAAAAGTAAGAAGTTTTCCAGGGTTGTATGCAATCCATATCTGTCCTCTGGGAGTCAATAAAATACTGCTTGGCTTCCTTCACTCGCTTGTTCCTTTTTGTGCAGTTAATACGTGGAAAGAAGTTGGGAGGCAGAGCTGTGATTGCTGATGCTCCCACATTCCTCACGAATCACCGTCACTGGGTGAGAATGGATAGTGATGTGTGTAATTTGGAGCGACTGCACCAGAGGAGACACCTCGGCTTCCAGTAGCTCCCGAGTGCCGTGGCTGACCTTTCCTTGGGGGCTGCAAGTCCCCCGGGCAGGCTGGGGGCTGAGGGCTTCTGTCTGAAAAGCATGGGCTGGGTGGGTGGGAGCTGGGACAGTCCTGCACAGGACTTGCAGTGCTGCTCTGGGAACTGCTTCAGCTCTTTTAATTATTTGGTTTTTTTCCTTATTTTTGATTGAATATGAGTGTCTGTCTCAGGATCTTCATAGGATTTAAAGAGTAACGACTTTAATACTCATGAATACTTGAAATCTAATTTAAGGTGTTTTTCTCCAGGTGAGAGTCTAACTAGAATAAAGTTTGTAGGTTAGCAAAGTAGATAATTATAAATGCAGATGTTTGAAATATATATATGTTCTGCAGGATTGTTTTAAGAAAATTTGGGCCTAAAGGTTAACACTTGAAAACCGGTTACGGCTGTACTCAGGAACTGGTGATAACTGTAGGTTATTTCTTATTGCTTTTACGTGAAGTGTACCGTGTGTAGGAGTTTGTTAGCGACTGTTCTCCCCCAGCGTGGTGGATGTCCACGTAGCTCTCGTGCTTGCTCTGCCTCCTTCCCCTGTGTAGCTGGTGGTGGTAACCATGACCCTGTGTGCTCGGCAGTGCCCAGCGGCGGGGCTTCTGTACAGGTGGCCGTTTTGATCTCATCTTTGAGGAATCTTTTCCTGACTGGTTACTGCGTAGGAAACTCAGGAGTAGATCTTTGTGTGCTATTACTCTGTACATTGTCTAAATCTAAAATAACTTCCAGTTGAAAGTCCAAGGATCTCAGAGCCAGTGTTGCATTTCATCAGTCCAGTTCTGTGATATCCGGGAGTGCCATCTGCCCAAGGGAAAAAAAACAGATTTCATCCTGCTCTCTCAGTGAAAACATGCATGAAATAAAGCTGCTTGTTCAGAGTGGTTGGCAGCACGAAGCAGAACACGTGTCTCATGGAAGAGTAGTGCTGCTTTTTGAAACCAGGCTGTCTCTTTAAAAAAAAAAAGGCCAACCAGAAACTGAGAATCAATTTTAAGAATTGCGCAGCTGTGGTCACCACGTAATTGAGATTTCTTTTTAAAAGTGTCAGTGGTTTTCTAAATAGCTAAAATTGTTCTTGCCATTTCTTAAATTTAACTTTAATGCTTGGAAGAGTCACAGTTGCAGAGAAGCTGCACTTTGAATTCTTTGCATTTTTATCATCATAAATTATCCACTGTGAAAATTATCCCAAAGTTTATTGAAAAGGAGGAAGAACTGCAATTCAGGTACACAGAAGAAAAATGTCTACTGTTACTTAAAACCTAAAACTCCACAGAAATAAAATGTATAAAACACAACTATCCTGTCTCAGAATCGCCATGTGTTTTTTATTTTTATTTTTTGTAATACCAAGTGATTTCAGTTGAGTTTAGAAGGTTGCATCTTCCCTTGGCACGCTCCTATTTGGAGAGGAGTTGACATTTGTCCCAGGGTTACCTAGAGCTAACAGAGGCAGAGGTTTTGACGGGGACATGAGGTGGGTTTTGGAAGGGACCCCAGACTCAGAAGTGTGGGGCTGGGAGGGGGCTGATGCAGGGGGAGGTCCCTGCTGCACCCCAGTATGGTGGCCTGGGTTCGGTCCCTGTCCTGCTGGTGGCTCTGTGGAGGCCACCGTTGGCTCAGTCTGATGTGCTGTTGCTGAGTCAGCATCTGACTGAAGCAGGAGGAGGAAAACAGAAATTGAAATCGCTTCTTTCTCTAGTTCCTAAAGCAGAAATGATGGCATGGGGTGGGATTTCTGCTCCCTCCTGCTCTCCTCTGGTTAGGCCTTTGGGCAGGAGATGGAGAACATGGGCCAAACAAATTGTCCGCTTGGCAGCAGGAGCTCTCCAGCTTTCCCAGACGTGTCCCAGCACAGGTGGGCCCCAGCTGTGTGTAAATCTGAGGCTTTTAGGGTGCATCAGCCTTGCTGCTGTTCCTTTATGGAAACAACTGGGTCCAGAGTATTTGCAACAATTCTGGATTGACCTCCAAGGAGGAAGGCTGGTGGGTCTGTGGCAGGCAGGTCAGATGTTTACAACCACAGGGTGTGTGGTGTGTCATCACTAGGCAGATGTTTGTCCCTAGAACACACCCAGGTGGATACAACTCTGGTGCAGTTTTCCCCAGGTGTATCTGCTGGCATCACAGGCCTCAGCTCTTACACGGCGGCTGATTAAACTGCTGCTGTCGTCGTTTCTGTGGAGCTGGTTGTGGTAGGAACAGCGCAGGCTGATGGGGGCTGCAGGAAAACGAGCTGTGGCTGAAGCCCTGAACCTGTCAGAGCTCGTGGAGAGCAGATAGAAGGCAGATGGTTTCTCCTTGGATCATGTCAACATACAGGGGTTTTCAGAACCTTTGCAGCTGGAGGGCTGCCCCGCTGGCTGCTAAAAAATGGGCTGTTAATTGTGCCAACATCATGTGCAGGAATGAGTTTTATGAGTTGTTATGTTTTGTTTTCTTCAATCATTCCAGAAAAGCGGAATTCAGAGCCGTGCTTTCTGTGGGTACCGTGGGCAGCCCCCCTCAGCAGGGATAATGACTTAAAGAATTGATGTTCTCTGGTGGGAAAGATTCACACTCAAGGCCACTGCAGTGTTTTTTATGTTTTTAATATCTTCGTCATTATCATACCAATATCTTTTTTTGTTGTAATTTGGCTGAGGCGCCTTTTAACAAATTTAAGATCAAATGTGTGTGTGAATATATATTTATATATATTTATATATATTTATATATATTTATATATATTTATATATATTTATATATATTTATATATATTTATATATATTTATATATATTTATATATATTTATATATATTTATATATATTTATATATATTTATATATATTTATATATATTTATATATATTTATATATATTTATATATATTGATATATATTGCTGTATATTATTTGCATTAAGCAGTTATTCTTCCCCAGTCTTTCTGTGTGATAGTGTGACTACATTATCTTTTATCTACCTGGTGTAAGGATATTAAAGAACACTCTCAGATGCTGTCCTTAACACTTATTTTCTCCATTCATAATCACAATTTTGAAGACAAAAACCTTGATTTACCTCTGGTTTGTTGCTTTCCTTACAGCACAGTTGTTCCTCTCTCAGTGTCACCACCGAAGCACAACCTATCAGTTGATTATTCTAAGTAATGACTGTTTTGCATACTACCTTGCTTTGTTTAATGTTTGTACAGAGATTTGAAAATATAAAGAGCTATATCATTGCTAAGTTTCATCATTGTTTTTGTATATTGGTATCAGTAGTAGTGGCACCGAAAAAATACGTGAGATGTCACAAAATACTGTGCATGTCCTTAAAATGGTGGTTTTGGTTACATCCTGAAGAGCTAGTGAGGAAGTAAGCTGAGGGTGTGTTTCTGGAGCTGCCAACTTCATCTCTGAAATGGCAGCTTTTGCAAAGAGGGAGGAAGAGGAGGAGGGAGGGAGGGATCGCACGCTTCAGAGCACGGGGCACTGCCTCACGGAGGGGTTGGGAGTGCCCGGGGTTCATGGGCGCCGGGGGCTGGCAATGGGAAGATGCGGAGGTGGGAGCTGCCCTCCTTGCCCCTGGGACACCGACCCACTGCCCGAGCGCTGTGAGGAGAGTGGCACGTGGTGCTGCTGCTGGACAGAGTGGCAAAAAAATACGTGATGGGTCTGCAGGTCCTGTGTTCGACCCATGGCCTGCGGGCGGGGGAAGGGAGGGCTGTACATCTGCTGCTGCTTTTGGAAAAATGGTGTTTTGCCGTTGTTTACTCACATCCCAAATGGATGCGTCCCTGATTTCTAGGGACTTGTCCGTGTTTGCCAGGGTTTTCATCTGAGCATGCCATCGGGTTTGGATCCTGCATGTGGTCACAGCTTTGAGCCCCGCTGCTGGGTGAGCCCATGGGGTGCCAGCACTGCCACCACCTGGGGTGGGAACCCAGCTCCCCAGCGCTGGGGACAGCAAAATCCCAACCATCTGGTGCTCAGCCTTAGTTGGCACCTGGCCTGGCAAAGCAGGAGAGCCTGGTCCTAAATGTGCTGCTTTTGCATTCTGCAGCAGCACCCAGAAACTGCCATCATCAGAGCCCTGGGACATTTCCTGGCTAACATGCACAAGTAGAGGAGTGAAAGCTCCTGTCATCCACTCAGTTGACCAGCCACATAAATGTCCTCTCAGATCAGGGTCTGCAGTGATGGCTGGGGCAGGGCAGGGACCCCCTAAACCCTCTGCATGCAGCGTGGCCTCCAGAAGCAAATGCAGAGCTCATGGGCCTGTGCCAACCTCGTGAAATACAACCAGGCCAAGTGCAAGGTCCTACACCTGGCTTGTGGCAATCCCAGGCACAAATACAGGTTGGGCAGAGAATAGATTGAGAGCAGCCCTGAGGAGAAGGACTAGGTTGACAAGAAGCTCAACATGATCCCAAGGGTCTTTTCCACCCTAGATGATTCTATGGGTCAGCAATACACACTCACAGCCCCAAGAGCCAACTGCATCCTGGGCTGTATCAAGAGAAGTGTGGCCAGCAGGTTGAGGGAGGTGATTCCACCCCTCTACTCTGCTCTGGTGAGACCCCAGCTGGAGTCCTGTGTCCAGCTCTGGAGTCCTCAGCCCAGGAAAGATATGGACCTGTTGGAACAGGTCCAGAGGAGAGCCATGAATATGATGGGATGGCTGGAGCACCTCTCCTATGAAGACAGGCTGAGGAAGTTGGGGATGTTCAGCCTGGAGAAGAGAAGGCTCTGGGGAGACCTCTCATAGCAGCCTACAGAAAGCTAGAGAGGGACTTTTTACAAGGG